ACACTTTGAGAAGAGGTGACCGTAAAGAATTAGTGATTCAGCCCTTCAAATATAAGCTTGAAAGAGAGTGGAACAAGTTAGGAAGGCCAGACCGAGAAAACTGAAAAAGATTTTTTCAGAGAAGAAAATGAATAAGTGGAAAAGAACTGTGCTTTTTTGAGAAAAAAAAACGTTTTTCAAAGAAGTGAAGAAGGGAACGTCAGATGCGTATCTATTTTTTTCAATTTTGTCAAGTAATACATATAATAGCAAGAACTTGAAGCCAAAGCCTCAACTAAAGAAAAGAAGGATTAACAATTATTTACCAGGAATATTCTTTGATAAAAGAGATTAGAAAGCTAAGTGGGGATTGGAGTGAGAACAGCCAAGTGTAACACTCTACAAAGCAGAATTCTTAAGAAGAACGAATAAAATATCGTGATGAAAAGAATGGCTGTAAGGAGTAAATGACGTTTTATTTTGGAAAAGAAATTTCACATCAAAAGCTTAGCAGTTGAGAAAAATCCAAATAAGGCAAGAAAACGTGCATTTTCTATGAGCACACAAATTATTAACAGTAGAAATAAGGGCGAGCTGTGGCAGGGGGGATCAAAGAACATTGGAAGCCAAATATCATTAGAATCAAGGGTGCTATTCCACATTCCAAAAAATGAAAAACGTGAATTTTGCTAAAACTTCGTCTAGGTGGGGGGGGGGGGTATTTGATATGCTGAACACGAATATGATGTTTATTTCGTGCGACAGCGCCATCCGGTCGAGTTACCATAGGATTACGGTAGGGAAAGTCACGGATTTGCCCGAAACTTCGTCTAGAGAGTTATTCGGCCCGCTAATGCTAAATATCACATTGGTTTCGTACCATAGCGTCATTTTCTCGGGATACGATAGCTACACAGTAACCGGTGTATAACATATTTCTGCCTGAAACGGGTGTACTGCGATTCGGACGATCGTGAAGCTTTGCACACACGACCACCGCCGCCCGCTACACATCCTGCTGCGGATTTTGCCTAAGCAAAGCACAGGGGAAAGATACATTTGCCAAATTGTGATTCAAACCCTACTGCAAATCCACCGTAACCATGCAGGGAGACGTTCTCGTGCGGAGAAGGTGTGACATTTCTAATCAGCATGTCGAATAATCCCTCTGTGCGAAGTTACAGCGGATTTTGAGATTTTGACCCCTTACCGTATACCTACCGTAACCTGAGACAATGACGCTACGGCACAAAACCAATGTGATATTCAGAGCGGGCCGAATAACCCCTCTGGGCCAAGTTTCGGGCAAATTCGTGATTTTGAACCCCTACCGTAATCCTACCGCTCCACCGGATGGCGCTGTCGCACGAAATAAGTATCTTAATTGTGTTCAGCGCACCAAATAACCTCCCTAGACGAAGTTTTGGCAATACTCATTTGGGTCAACGAATGGGAACGAACGAACGCCGAATCAAGTTCTTTGGTGTTTTTTGGCATGGCAGTTTCGATTTTGTCACACGCTCTGCGCCGTCTTTTCCCGCGCGGTTGAGCGAAATATACAATGTTTTGCAGGGGCTCAGCGCATTGTCAATGTCATAAAGAGTCCTCAACAAAGTTAGGCAAATTTCAAACTTTGGTAAACATACCGTACACCCGCCGTAACCCAGAAAATAGTGACACCATGCAAAAGTGATATGTTTTCCACAATCAAGTGCTCAATGTCCGATAAATCAAAAATCAGCCAGATTTGTGATTTTTTCTACCTCTTACTACCCACTCACCGTAATCACAGAAAATGACGTTAGCTGGGAGCAAAGCATGATATTCTCAGCATGTCAGATAAATCTACAGAGAGAATTTGAGCGAAATGAGATTCACAAATTTTGGGGCCCGAGAAGCCAAATACTCTGAGGCGCATTTTTGAAGTACTCTAAAAAACTGAAAGGAAGTTTTCGCTACATGAATGCGTTTGGATCTTTCAAGTGTCTCAAAAATTGTATTTCAGTAGATGAAACTGTTGCGAAAAGCAGATGACAAAAAATTGCTAAACGAGAGGATTCGAATTCGCGACTTCACGACTTGAGGACAGAAATACTCTACTTCACCTGCCTTCAGAACTACTTCTATTAGCGCCAGTTAGTGCACTTTCGAAGCCTCATAACTTATAACGTCGAACTGCAGAGATGGATTGTACTTTTGCATGTACCACCTCCATATGCGCGAACTGATGTGCAATCTTGTCTGGGTATACTGCGGTTTTAGAAAGTTTCTTCGCTGAAGTTTTAGCGTGGATTTTGCACTAGAAAGGGGTTGCTCCTGTGAAGAGGATCTTCCTTAGAAAAACTGACATCTTTAGAGGTCGGTGTAACGAAAGAACACAAGGAAACAACAGTTTCGCCAACTACTCTGATGAGAAAGGAATTGGCAAGACGGTGAATTGAATAAAAACTATCAGGTACATACGTACTTTGCGACACAGGGACATCAAAGTGGCCATTTGATTAAAGTCAGAATTTTGCAATTACACTAGATACTTATGCAATGGATTGAACTAAGCAGTATTATAAAACACAGCAAAGCTGTTTCAAATCTTTTACATCTTTCTCGAAAAACTCTGCATGGGGAAGTTCCCGAAGTCGTTCCTGTTTAGCGCCTAAATTCACCTGATCAATAATTGAAGCTCCGGAAAATTTCGGCAATTCGGTCTGTGTGGAAGGTTCTCGTAAGTTGTCTGGGGTGTAATCATAATCAGCAATATCACCTAAAACTTTGCAACTTCCAACGGCCAATCTCGATCATTGCAAAAAATCCGTTAAATCGATAGGAGCTGTCGCGTTTGAAGGTGAAGAATTGTACTTATAATTGGTACGCTTACTTGTTCTCTTAGTACTTTAACTACTCAGCTCAAATTCGCAATTATTTCCATAATTAGCATGCACTTATCTCTTGTGTCAATTCCCATTACGTATAATCAGTTTCACTCGAAAATCTTATGCAGGGTGTCCCAAAAAAATGTGAACACTGTTTGATTGTTAATAACTCCCTTGCTTTCATGTCTTTCGCCAAGCTTGAGGCAACATTCTATAAAGCAAGGTTTAACTTAGATTTACAGTATGGAGCGAATCGTCGACCGCTCTTCATTACTGTAAGATTACGGTAGGAACTTCGACAAGGATTTCAGGCCATTAGAGGCCATATTTTCCTCGGAACAAAGTCAAACAAGCCAAAAAATTTTTAACTGAGGTAATAGGAGCCGCTGATTTCGAATATGAAACTTCCGCTTTACTGTGATGCTTCTTTCCAAGGCTATCCCAGGCAAATCGTAAAAACTAAATTTCCAGCATTTGTCAGAAAGGTGATTACACCGTCAAAAAAGCCGAAAACACTTGTAAAAAGTTGTGTAATGGCAGCGTGCAAGAAAACCCTAGTACACGATTTTTCAGATTTTTTGAAAAAAATTTTGTCAAATGGCATATTTCACAATAGATCCACATGCTAGAAGTTCATACCGTAATCCTACAGTAACGAACAGCGGTCGGTGATTCGCTTGACACTGTAAATCTAAGTTGAACCTCGCTCTACAGAATGGTGCCTCAAGCTAGGTGAAAGACATGAAAGCAACGGAGTTATTAACGATCAAACAGTGTTCACATTTTTTTGGGACACCTTGTATATAAACATGAATGTCTGTTTGTCTGTCTGCCTGTCTGTACGTATGTTCAGAATAGAAACTTCCATTTCCGAACCGATCCGGACCAAACTTGGCACACATACACACCGGGCCCCGGCGGGTGTCATAGGCCACTTTTCGTTATCGATCGATATCGATTTTATCGATTTTTTGCAAAATTTGAGCTACGGGGCTGGGAGTTGGCACAGGGGGGTAATCGAGCATGCTGATTACGAATATGATAATGACAGGGCCGGGCGGAGCCGGGTAAGTGAACTAGTCATTCATAAATGATTAGAATGTATCCATGAGTGTGTGTGTGTGTTTCGCGTTAGTAAAAGTGGATAGAAACTAGCATTTTCTCCTCAAAACATCTTGGCGCTTCTTCATCACATCATTTGCTTCCAAACCAGCTAGTGAATTCTGCAACCTCTGCACAAACAACGCTACATATGAGCATTCCATCAAAATAAACAGGAATTCAATCATGCTCAGATAACCTTTATGAAAAAAGCTGTCATGGCCAACGATACATGATACCCCGCTGTGTTCTTCAAAACCTTTTGTAATCAGATACTGTGTATAACGGCAGCCCTGCATGCTTACCTCTCCAACCTGTTTTTTGTAGGCAAATTTTATGCATTAGTTCTTGTGTGCATCGTTTTATCTTCTTTGGTTCGGCATGCACGAAGTTAAGTCTAAGACAAAATTAACGACTAGTTGAGACGTGAATCGCACCAAATTTTTTGCAAATCCGTCCTTCCATTTTTTGAAAAAAATTTGAAATAAAACAATATATCAATTGCAGGATTTCCTCCCGCGTTATTTTAAATTCGTAACTTGGCTCAATTTCGATATTTTGCAAAAACATAGCTTTGTCCAGACAAGTAATTTATTTACTTTCTAATGAGGCTTCCTATTGCACCTTTGATTGTATAGACAAGATTTTGAGATGAAAACTATCCGAGTTTTGATTATTTGAAGCAGGCCCATCAGAAATCTGAAATTTGCAGCAAACTCAAACAGCTATGAGCAGAAATTTAAATAATAAGAAACATTCTTTTCCTGACTGAGCACATATTGTGCTGTGTGAGGTGTGCTATAACTATTTATGATTGTTGAGAAAACAGTGCATGACTGCCAAATTTTGGTTTTTCCTCAGAAATCAAAACATTCCATGGATAACCTGAATTAGAACAAACTTTCTCAATAAAAAATGATTTGATACTAGGCGAGTACCTTCCGGGTGCGAAATTTCCAAAAATTACAAATTTATGTCTTACCTTTGGTCCCTTGTTTGTTTTGACCGCTTACCTGTTACTCTCTGCAGGGAGCCTGTGGGGCATAAATAATGACTACGCTCTGTTTCCCTGAAGTCTTACAAAAGGTTCGAATGGATTTTTTTTTAAATTCTATAAAAATGATCATAACCAGTGAACGAACCTGATACATCTTTCTGACCGTTACTTTGTTATATTCTTGGTAGTTGGTTGCTTGGGCGGCGCAAAAGGTCGAACTTTTACTAAAACTAAAATATTACAGGTGCAGTTTGTTGTGTCAGGATAAAAGCGTCGACTCCCTTTTTATGAAATGTAGCGGGTTTACACAAGCCTTGGTGTAATATTTATTAAAATTATATACAGAAGGGGAAAGGGAAAGGGGGAAGAGGGCACCAGTTCTGCCGGCGGGTGGAGGTCACTACCAGAGGTTCGCTATTTTACAATTAGGCCACCCTCCATCGTGAGCAGCTTTTGGGTAATAGCTGTGTCCGGACAGCAGCTATCTGCGTTTGATGGATACAGAATTTCATAACTGATCTTATCAACTATTAGGTTGTCCCATAAGTTTTTTCATATTCGGACCCTCGATTTTTCTCAGGAACTACAGCACCTAGTAGGCTGCAAATTTTTGGCAGTAATTCTGAGCGAATAAGCGATATAATACCTACTTGCGGGGAATACAGAAGTCATACAGACAAAGTTTGAAAAATGAGCGCGTTATTTTTTTTTTGGTTTCTAGCCATCAGAAAAATGCAGCAAGTGCATTTATAAATATCCGATGAGGAGAGTATATGCATGAAAAAATAGGAAATTTGCAGAGCTGTTTTGAACTGAGATATGATGATTTTCGTTTTTTCGGAAATTCGGGAAAATTTTTTATTTTGGCTTGGAGCATGTTGCGGATTGGACTTGGTGCGAACTTTTGAACGCCATCTTGTAGAGCTTACTTTAATCTGTCGAATGGTACCCTGCAATTTATCAGGAGTTCAAGAAGAACTGATTTATGTCGTTGAAAAGTCAGGTATGAAAAGACTTATGGGGCAACCTAATATTTGGTACATAGTCTGACAAAGCAAGATGTGTGGGAACCTTCTCACCGCATAGAATTATCATGGAATAAAAATTATCATCAATTCACCTACAAAAGAAGGATGGGTATGATCAAAGTGGCTTTCTACCTTTTTTGTTGATTTATACCCCATTGGAGGGCGTTAAAAAGGTTGCCACAATCTTGCCAATAGAACCACACCAACCACCCACACGAACGTTACACATTTATTGTCGATTACCTCAAACTTGGGTAATTAAACCCTCATTCTGCTTGAAATATACACACACATAAACAACGAAGCATCAACATGAAAAAGTGACGAAATCACTAACAAATGGTTGGAACTATGATGACGATAAGTCAAACCAAAATAATATCTTGGATATCTTGTGAATTTGGACTACTTGTAGGAAATATACAAGAGGAGATAGAAAACATACGATAGGAGTGTTAAATGTGCTATCCTACGTACAAGGAATGGGCGGATAATGAGGCAACACAAGTAATGAGTGTTAGTGATGGAAAATGCATGAGTAATAATGACTTAGTATATACATATAGACGTTCGCTGACTCCATCCTTCCTTCTGCAGCTGCAGTCGTTTTTATCTGTAGACCGAAGTTTTTTTGTCGAAGAGAATGTCGCATCTGGCATCGTGGATTCATTCCTTGGCATTCCGCAACTAGCCTTTTTATTTAGCAAGCATTGCGATCCGTGAACGTCTCAACTGGTACTGAGGGGTCATCGTATGCAACTCTCATGCACTATCTTGCTCAATCGCATCGCGATCCGCGATAGGCGTAATGCTATTTCCAAATCTGTCATCCTCTATCTGCGAAGCATTTTTCCAATAGGAGTTATGTGCGTTAATTCAACAAAAAACTGAATACTTATCCAGAATAAAATCAGTTGCTAGGATCCCCCTAGCGCTTTGATGAGGGAGCAGAGTGGATGCTCTTTTCAAGCATTAGAAAGAAGGTTACGATTATCTCTGCTACTTGCACATTCAATTTTTTCTTCAAATGCTCATGATTCTTTGTAGAGAAACGTTTCGCGGGTAAAAAGAGACAGATTGAGAACTATGCCCGTCAAAAAGTTACACCTCTCTTTAAGAGGCCACTTCAACTGCTGATCTCTTGCCTGTTAGATTTCATTCCATAGTCATTGAATTTACTGCTTAGCTACTTGCGCCTTCAGTTACTTCCAACAGACATCGCATTTAGCGTGCAACTAAAGATTTGCTTTTGTGTCGCCTGTTTAGTGCTGCTCTAAAACGACTCAACTACAGCAGCATTGAATGAGGCATTTAGTATAATGCTATAGTATGTCATGCTTTGAATCTTTTCATTATGCTGTGAACGGCTACGTTGAAACGTCAGCCTCGGCCCGATCAAATAGAGATAAACCTGCGACTAACAAACCTGTATTGTAAGATCTAAGTGATGGCATGAATTGCCTGTATAAGATAGGATGCGAAAAGATAGTGTCACTCAGCTTCCTCTTTAAATATCTTACAAATAAGGACTATGGGTTTTTTATTTTACGTGTAGGCTGACCATGGAAATTAGACTGAAGATAAGTTTATCGATAGGTCCCCCTCCGTCAAACGGGTGATAGCAGCGAGCAGGACGACGATGTCCCGTAGCATTTGAGCGCGGTTGTGTATCGTAAACAAACCACCAAGAGTAATATCAATTTCAAATTGAAATAATGTGTAGAGCGTAATCTCATCATCAAAACTGCCTAGTATAGATCAGTACATATTTGTGATTTTGGCTGAACAAGAAAAATTATATTTCAGACAGTTCGCGAAAATTCTCGAAAAGGAGCTAATCTAATCTGCTTTGGCTCAAAAAATTCAATCCAAACTGCAAATCAAAGATCCATAAATCAATAAAAAGTAACAGAAATGATTTGAAGAACATCGGGCCTTGTATACATCACAATTTGGGCCAGTAAATTATTGTACGTAGCTTCTACGCCAGTTTTCTGATGCACTCTGTTGCGCCGCAGAAACCACGAATCTTCACCTGAGCAACGGCGGACTGGTTATTCGGGATATCCTGAAGTCATTCCTCTTTCAAAACGTAAGAATTTTTTTTTGAAAAAACATCAAACTTGTACAAAAGAGTGGCGATAACTGATATGGGAAAATTGAGAAAAAAATGAAAAAAACGGTAGTTGATAACCACTTTTTTGTACATGCTTTATGAATAGAGATCCGCGCCGTTTATTTTGGAATTCAAGTCGAATTTACCAAAGAAGATGGTAACCACGTCAATATGTTGAGCATTATCTTGAGGGACAGTAATTTTTTGCACCCTGTACAACTAGTATTAACTAAAAGCTGACATCAAGCCTGCTCTTACTTTGTTCGAGAATCTTGTCTGTTTCAAAATGCTTCAGCCTTGTCATACATACATAATATCTCTATATTATTCTTCCCTTTTTACAACTAAGATGCACTCGTAGCTTTGGGAATTTTGTTTATTGATTACAAAGCTTTCATGTCACCCTCAGACTGTTTAATTTAGCCATTCAATACGAAACTCATGATGGCGGCGTCACTGACAAACTATTCCGATCCAGACGTTGTTCCTGTTGAATTGTGCGAAGGGGTATGTTTGTTTTGCTTACTTATTTTGTTCGCATCACCGTGGAGTTATCCAAACGATTAGGATCAAACTCGAATTAAAGGGTACTTTTTCTTTATCTGGACCCACTCTTCCGAAGAATTTCGTTTACTTTAGTGTAGGGATTTTTTAAGTTTAGTTAAAAATTGTTTACTTATCACGTGTCAGGTTAAAACTAACACGTTTTAGTTCAGTCTAACATGTTTTTGAAAATCATTTCCAGTAAGGTATGAGCGCCGGGAGATAAAGAAAAAGCTATCCAGCTGTTTTTTATACATGCAAAAATTCCAGAAGGAATAACAGAGCATCTTGAGCGTTCAGCCGTAATTTTATTTTTATTTTTACATCATCTCAATGTCCGTAAACAGAACTCAAGTAGTAATGCAAAGTATCCCACTGCTGATTATATCCCCTACTTAGATGATAAATTCCTAGTGCTCTTCTCTGTTCTGAGCAAACCTAATATGTCCAAAAATAGAATATCATAGTGTTGATGCTACTTTCAGACTTGTTGATGAAAATGAAGATTTTTGAAAAAGAGTTTGCCTCGGATAGGTAACTGAAACGAACGCCGAAGTAAAATCTGTTGAACATGTTGATGACATGTCATTTTTCTTCTGACAGGTGGCAGAAAGCAGACATTCTTTTTTGAAACTGGAACTAAATATGATACAGAAAGCGAAGAGATATCCTTTTGTAAAAAAAGGGTTTGGGTAACGGAAAAGTACCGACCAAAGTGTAGCAGACAGTATGTGTGGTAATTGGTACGAGGACTACTGTATTCAGGCATTTCTGAGAAAAGACCAATCTAGAGCAAAAATCAATCACAAACGAAGGGCCAATAAAAGAAAGAAAATACATTTAAAGGCACCGTCCACCCAAATTTCGATTTCGACTTTTTGTTCTTTTTTGCATTTCTTGCGCACGCTGTTTCCGGATGAATTGCTCGATTTTTTGAATTTGCGCGTTTTAAGGAAAATTATTAAGTAGGCGGAACGAACGATCACTTTGCGATTTTCTTGCTTCGGGAGCAAATTTTGGCAGCGCGAGTTGGGCAGCTATTGCAAATGTATCGAGATCTCATCAGCCCATTTTGAGTGATGTCTTATGCTGAATAGATGATAGTAGAATTGAGTCTGAAAGACCAATCTTCAAAGCAAAGAGATTCTAGACAAGAAATTTGCAACATCAATACCCTTGCTAACAGAAATGGCCCAACGGGGCAGCTAGAGCACTTAGACAGGCTAGCACTTTCTTTAGTGAAAGAATACAGTCCGCGAACACTATCTGAGGTAGGTAACCTGGGAAATGGGAAACGAATTGTGGCGGCCATAAAATTGGGCAAAAAGTTCAAAAATTCAACGGATGTTTCACTTAATACTTTGACTTTGTTCTACCTGTTTATTTTGTTATCCATTTGTAGTATTCAAATGTTGCTCCTGTTTCCAAATAACATAATTTATCTTTTGTTGCATTATCTCGAATTTTGAATTCAGATCGCCGGAGTCCTGCGAGCACCGCTCTATCGTATCGCTCAAATTGTTACGGTCAGCGAGTCAAGTGGTGCACTCATATGTATTATATACGTTTTAGTTAGGTACAAGAAAATGTTCAGCGTTCACTCCAACATCGCAGTGAGGATTTCTTCTACTGGCTTGAGCTTTGGCTCAAAGTACAGCGTGTATTTTCAGCTGCTCTTGTACCTTTTGCACATACTATGCCTCATTCATGCGATTAATTATATTATATCAAAGGTGAAGCTTGCTCTCTTCCGTCAAATAGCTCTAATTATGCTGCCAAAAAGTTGCAACATTTGATGACCTTATTTTGGTGCATTACAATTAAAGCTGCAGCAATAGAAGCGATAGAATTGTTCAATTTAGGCTGTTATCGAATTTTTCAGATATATCAGCTCTACTTATCTTTTTTCGCTACTAATCCGTGCCACATGTTCTTACCAAGGAACTTCTATCTTCTCACCCACAACTTGATTGTGTTTTGTACTAATGGACTGTTCAACACTCTGGTAGCTATGGTCATTGAACGATGTGTGGCTGCAGCCCTTGTCGACATCTACGAAAAACGATTCCGGACACTTGGGATCTTGCTCACAGCCATAGCGGTGCGTTTTTATCAGTGCTTGTTGACTTAGCCTAAATCTGTGCTTTGCAGTTGCTCCTGTCGTTCATAGAGACTGTGAATGGATACAAATACGTAGCTGGAGATTATCTTATGACAAATAGTCTCATCCATCCAGGTACGAAGAGCACATTGGTTAGTACTGGTTTTGCTGTGCTTTGGCTGATCAGCTGTTTACTGCTACTGACTACTATTTTATTATATTGTTTCAACACACGACGGAAAAAAAGGTTTGCGATTGTCTATTTACTCAAAATAATTTCTTTGTAAGGCATTTGATTTTGTTATCAAAGTGAGCACTAACTTTTTGTGAATTTCAATCAACTAGTTCATATACCTTGTTCCTAAAACAAAAGAGACATTTTTTAAGCCCGTTCGCAATGACCATCACCGGAAGTGGAAGGTCGGTACACCTGTGAAAGCATCCAATAATTGCTTAAAGCTTAATCATTTCCGCAACTCCCGCTGACCTACCAATGTATGACGATATTCAGCAATTCAGGCCGAAAATCGCAAAAAATCTCAAAAAGATAGAATTTTGTTTATCAATGGTATCCGTTCAATATCCATTTTTCCGATCTCCCCCTTGTGCCAAAATAAGATAGAAATTATCTTAATCGGCGACCCGAGATATGCTTACTAGCCACGGGTCGAATTTGGGTGCGTATACGCTCATGAGCTGATGGGATTCACATTCAATGCATACAGCGCGACGTATATGCAAGTTTTTTTCTTTTCACCAGAACTCAAATTAGGGTGAAAAATCAGGGCTCAAAGTCTAACAAGGGAACGATCCCAACTTAAGGTGGCGAATCGAAATGAACCGCGTATTATTAGATGCGCCTTGATGAGCTGATTCCAAATCTACCTTTCAGATCTGCGATGCCGTTCTCTGCAGAAAGTTATGAGCGGTTGCGCTACTAGCATGATATTGAGTGTACTGATTTCAAGGAGTGCTCACACTCAAAAGAAATACTAATAAGTGTTTTTGAACAACTAAATAGCAACTAAAGTTCTTTGGTAAAAGCTAGAAGCTGAGCAATGAAAAGTCCAGATTTGGCAAATATACAGCACAATACCTCGAAAATTAGTTGTTCAAAAACAACTATTTGTGTTTCTTTAGAAGGTGAGCATTCCTTGAAATCAGTGCACTCAATATCATGCTAGTCATACACTCCCAAGTTGGATTTTAAAGCATATTATGCATTAAAACCCCAATAGCTTCACATTTTCAACCGCTCATAACTTTCTGCAGAAAACAGCATCGCAGATCTGGAAGGTAGATTTGGAATCAGCTCATCAAGGCGCATCTAATGATATGCGGTTCATTTCAATTCGCCACTTTAAGTTGGGATCGTTCCCTTGTAAGTAGAAAACGCCAACCTACTATGTATACGACTACTAGGAAGTAGATGGCTTTTGAACAACGGCACATATTATTGTTAAAGCAAGTACAGTACATGTAGTTTGTAAAAAATGCATCATCTTCGACGGAAAACGAATCGAGACGAGGACCATCATTACAAAAAGGCTGGATGGGAGAGATTCTGCTGTTCTAGGAATGATCTCTATCAGCAAAAATTTTGTTTGGAATGCTAAAGCTTGAACAAGCTTTAATTTCACTCCTGCGGACTTCGTTGACCCGCCCTATTTTCGAAAGTAGCCTCCGCCCGTCATCAAATATCCACTCAGAAGTTGTAAAGGACTAGAAACAATCTACAGTTCGAGAAATAGAATATGATTTTGCAAGGAAAAGTCGTTCTTACTTGCCTGAGGCTTATCCAATAACTGCATTTCGTGACTACTCAGTATATCCAAGTGCGCTTGCCGCTTGTAAAAAATATTACGATGAAGCTTACCATTCCGCCGACTCCTATGCAACATGACCCTGTTTTTGCATCACTTGTATATGACAGTTTTTTGCATCACCACAGTCTGTCAGCCCGCGCAATTCCACTTAGCAAATTTAAACCCCGTCTCTAGAAGTACAAAAAAGCGGCGAGCTCAACATTTCCTAAGAGTCCCAACGCTCCCCCTGTATTTACTAAACTCTAGATAGCAGGCGGTAATCATATATCCATGTCACATTTCAAAGCCAAGTTTGAGCTGCAAGATTGAAAACGACCACGAAAAGGAGAATAAGTTTGAATCCAATTTGGCACTTCCTTCGTGTGGCCACTTGCGGAAGCAGTGTCCCATTTGAGTAATTGGCCGTAGTGAAGCTAATTCAGTTCAGATAGTAAACTGAAGCCCTCATCTGAGATTTTTTGAGTTGCAATGACGACCGCCCCCTTCCCATGCTGTAAGAATGCAAAATGAAATTTCAGTTGACTATCCGTCAACCTGACGAGGGCGTCTACTTTACTCAAATAGTTCACATTCAGTTAGACGACGATTTGATTTGAATGTGTCAGTGATGACACGCAGACGAACTTCCCGTAAGTCACTCCTGAGTAACTTACGATACGAGTCAGTTCAACATGTCGAACATACTGAGTGAGGAGCCACAGTGCAGGCTGAGATCCTTAACAAGAACTAACAGGTGCGGCCACATCTCCGTCGCCAATATTAATCACTTAGGTATTATCTAGAAGGGAATGTTTGGAGGACCGTTTGACTTGCATACTTATATGAACGTGGCATTCTCAATCATATCATCGTGGATGATTGACATCATCAATCAATGGCTCGACTGAGGGCAAACTGACTCGTCGAAGCTTCAATTGATTTATTTATCCGATGTCCTATACTTTATCCTTTACTACGGGTCATTCAGTTTTCCAAGCTTAAAGCATCCAGCAGGCACTTTTGCTCCATGGCAGGTACACGTCTAACATGCACTACTGCAGTTTCAAGTTTACTTGCGCGCCCCTTGGCTACGTCAGGTTTGAAATTAATGAGAATCAGGTCGGATACTCGGAAAAACTCGAAGAGACTCTAATGAATTTATTGTGTATCAGGGAGTATTTACACATTGAAAGGTTAAAATGCGTTTGTTGAAGTGGCATCATCATCATGAGCTAAAGGCGTCGTGTAATGCTGAATGTGCCAGACTGCTGAAGTACTCTGTGTTGCTCAAGCAAAATGAAAAGACTGGAGTTAAGAGATGCTTGAAATTGCAGCTGCAGTCTATTGCAGTCATTGCTCGATAGATACGGCCTGTTTCATTGGGAACGCGCCATACTTGATCCGTTTGATCCACTTGATCCACTTTATTCGCTTTGTCAATGGTCATTCAGTGAACTGACCAAAAGCGAAGGGGCTGCCCACTTGTTCGCCTGATCTACTTTATCCACTTCACTATTGGACATTTCACTGCATTGATCCATGATGAAGCGGATCAAACGGATCAAGTATAGCGGGTGACTTTCCACTTTTTTGAGGAGAGATCGGGATCTACACCTTAAGTCACTGTGACTAGAGAGATTCTCCGCATAGAACCAAATTACTGATTTAAAACGAAACTTCTCTCGCACCACAAATTCATAATTCTTAGCTAATCCAATGTTTACATGCTTTTATTTCATTTGAAAAGAAAGATCTAGCGCTTTACAACGGCAACCTTAATAGCCTTCCATAACGCACACTTTGCATAATTTAAAACGGTAGTGGATTTTCTGCATGATCGTAAGGTATCTGAAACTTGCAACAAAAATTGGGTCAATTAACTTCATGAGTTCATTTTCTGCTTTTTCTAACTGATGGAGTGCTGGTTGATAATACTCATAAAATTCTACTTTTTGCTTACTTAGAAACCTAGCGGCTCGTCCTCATCTGGCATGCGGGTCCCAACATAAGAGGCGGGTCCCAACACATAAAAGGCGGGTCCCAACACGCTTCGGACATCCAGTCTTCTTGGTCTTCGTTGGAGGTTGCGTCCACGAGCTCCAAATGCGAAAATCAAATCCAGCTGGACTTTTCAGCTGGTCCATCCGTTCCGCGTCGTCTGCTCATCTCATTGGTAATCTTCGTCGAGGACGTTTTGCTTCGCGAGGAATCCACTTCGATGTTCTTTGTGTCCATCTGCCGTTTGTTCTTCCCATAAGTGACCGGCTCATTTGTGCAAAAGTTCTTTGTGGTAAATCCCATCTACTACAGGGAAGAAGTCGGATTCCTTTTGGTTTAATGCAGCCGGCGGTAGGTAATGCTCACAAAGGTAACTTTGGTATTCCTAAGACTTCGTCTTCCTTCTGCTGCTTCCAGTATCTGGCTTTTCTTTTTTGTACTCCCGAATCCTCTTGCGAAACTTTTAGAACTAGCGTTGGTTACCAGTCGCTTGAGATGAGTTGCATTCGGATCTTGCCTCGCGGACCTTCTTCTTCTTTCGAGTAATTCCTTAGCAGTCTTCGAAGTGCGTTCCACCTTTTCAAAAACCAGTCGTGGTTACACTTTGGGTCCTCCTCCATGGGCCAGCTACAACTTGACATAGACTTTTCCAACTTATAACCGTCTAAACGACTTCCCTCCTTCTTGCGGCACTGTGACAGACTTTCTTTTCCAGCCTTCGGCCGAGTCGTATCTTCGCTCGAAGGAGGCGGTGATCAGCCACTGCAAAAAAATAGAACTACTAAAACTCGAGCAAGTTTCGCCTTCGGTTAGTGAGAATGTGGTCGATCTTCGCGTGAGTCGTTCCGTAGGGCGATTCCCATGTCCCCGGCGATGTTATTTTTCCATGAAGGTGGATTTTCCATGGGAAAGTCGTGCGGCAGAGGGAAGCTCAACAAGACGGTTGCCGTTCTCGTTCCGGAGCCCATATTCAAACTTCCCGATCCTATATTCCTTTTCCAGTGGCATCCCGATCTTCGCATTGAAGTCGCCCACAACATACTTGTTGAAGAACTTTTCATTGCGTACGACCTTCTTCACGTCTTCGTAGAAAGCATCTAATTCAAGTCGTCAGCTGCTAATGTTGGTGAGTAGCAGTTGATGATGCTGATGGTCTTCTGACGTGGAGATCGTAGTCGTAGGATTGCTAGTCGAGGTTATGATCTTATGCGAATCGACAAGATGGATGATAGATGGAAAGACGACAAAGTCAACGCCTTCAACGTTTCGTGACGAAACTTCTCACCACGAATGATGGGGTCCCCGCTCATCCGTTGCACCTCCTTCCTTTAAACTTCGTCTTCTGCAGAGCGATGTTGACGTGCCCTGCAGAGTTCAAGAGAGCGCAGGAGTAGGGGACATTAAAGGCAGTAGATTAGCAGAATGGACCCTTCTCGAATTTTGGTGGATTTAGGTAGCAAACCCCCCAAGTACACTGTAGCCCAAGCCCCATCTCTCAGTTCTTGCGCTAAGTCCTTAAAAATGCGCTTTGAAAGTCTAGCAGTCCCGCCCACTCAATGGAAAGAGGCGGGGCTGGGGAGTTTTGAAGCGCATCTTTCAGGACTTAGCGCATGAATTGGCAGATGGGGTTTGGGCTACAGTGTACTAGGGGGTTCTACTACCTAAATCCACCAAAATTCGAGAAGGGTCCATTCTGCTGATCCACTGCCTTCAAGTCTAAGCTCCACCCACGCGGATAGATAACATGAGGCAGTAATTGTAAAAGCGCGCGGTTTGTTGCAAAAGTCTGTGGAACCGTTCCTTTCGGTGCCCTAATTTTCCCTACCGTGGAGGTCAAAATTTACGGAGACTGTCCAGGCGTTGTAGGTGCAGAACATAAGGCAGTTTCCATGGCGCGCCGTCCAGGCAAACACGTCGTTTTTGTCCGATGCGAAAAATGCCTGCGAACCCTGGCGTTCTTGTTACCACCGGGTGCCGTGGCTGGATCCGATGTGCAAGGTTTTTTTTGCTCTGCTGATCGAGTGAAAACCTTTTCCCTTACAAGAAGCAGACTAATAGAATAAAACAGTTCAGTTACTTAAATGTGAGACTGTTTCATTCAGAAGGAAGAAAAGAATGGTTAAGGTTAGTTTTTTTTTCAGTTTAGTTTTCGATTTTATTTGACAATCTTCCCTCATACTGATGACTTCTAGAAAAGTTCTTAATCTCTGTCTAATTTCCAACTAATGGTAGGGAAATAAGAAAACTTATTTGTTTTTAGTACTAGGCTGTGCATTTATCTTCCACGGGTCGATCGCTAATCCCCAAGTATGGAGCGAGGATGTCTAGCGGTCACAAAGCTAGACAACATAGGATGTGGCCTAGTCCGCTCTTAGTTAGGCCATTCAACCGAAGATGTCGAGCTCCTTCATAGCTTGGGAGACCCTACCCGATAAAGTCGGCCGCACATTGCAGTTCGACGCCCAGAGCTACCCCCACCTCAACAGCGGACCATAGCGGGAGACTCGGACACTCAGTAAAATACAGTGATTCTAAGTAAAATGTGAAAAAAAACCAATTTCGCTGTTTCGTAATAACTCAAAAATCATAATTTTTAGACATAAAACACGCAAATTTGCTCGTTGAGAAAGCACGCAGTAAGATTTATTTTTCCACCGCTCCATTCTTACTGCAATTCGAAGTTCCTACGAACAGACTGGAAAGAAGTTCGAGTAATTTTTGATGCCTTTGTCTATGCAATGAGTGCTAATGGAATGTGGCAAGATGCAGTTGTAGAAAGCATTATCTCTTCCCCACAATAGATTTGGAACATTCAAATTATTAAGAACAAAGTACTATCCTTTAACATAACGTAACTTATATCAGCAATGTAGCCAAAAGCAAATAATTTCTGTAGGCTGTCAACTTTGAAGTTCAGATCAACACTAACTTCGCGTTACCAATCTCTTGAAAACGTTGCCACGTCGGGACTGCTTTGCGTTATTCTTATCATATATCTGGTCATATTTTCCACGTATACATGCTCGATGATGTTCCTGAGACTGACCAAGAGTGAAGATCCGATGCTGGATGCCTACAAAGAAGTGGCTTATGTAAGTTTAGCGATTACATTTTTTCTTTTTGTAAGTCACCTTTTTGCGAACAAAATATCAGTTTGAATTTTAAGCTTATTCCCCTTGGAACACTTCTCATTCCCCTGGGTGCCCTCATTTTTATGAGAAAATCTAAGCAAAGACGTCGATATGGCATCAACGATATCGTCAACGTACGTTATCTCCTTAAGTACAAAGCGAAAATTGGAATGAATCAGAATTTTCAGATACAAACCCATGGACTGAAAGGTTGGGACAATTATGCGGCAATGCTAGATAAACAGTGGAACAAGTAGATGAGGAAAGTACATTATGCATATGATGCCCCACGGACTACTGTTCTTTGTAAATGATTCAAAGAGTGAAATAAAAGTATAATCCACTTTAATGCAGATCATGGAACTTATAACCCCAGATGGGAATATATAAGGTAGATTTATGTAAAGAATTTGCTTTATTTCACATCAGCTGCATACTCGGCTCTACCCGTATCACCAACATAACTTTCCTGTACCGGTATAGCCTCTATAAGCCAGCCTGCCTCCACTGTGATCAGCATGCTCATTTACCCACCTGTATCCTCCTAGCCCCGTAGGTCAAACTTTGCAAAAATTAACACAGTCGATAAATGTTACCGTAATTCACACACTCGATTCCCCCCCCCCATCGTGCGCCAACTCCTACCCCGCGTTCAGTCTGTGCAAAAAAACCATAAAATCGATATCGATCGATAACGAAAAGTAGCCTATGACATCCGCACCGCTTCATGTGTATGTGTGCCAACTTTGGTCCAGATCGGAAAATTTCTATTTGGAACATTTATATATAGACAGACATTCAGCTTCATATGTAAGATTGCTTAGGGAAAAATTTGCGAGAATACCTATGACAATCCTATAGCAACTCTGAGGATCTATAAAATCGGAAGCAGGTTTTTTAGTACATTTGCGCATCAATGCATGGGCATAGCTTTTCTGAACACTTGGAAAGATCAGGAGGCTCTATCCCTCCTCAACCCTCTCTGCCTTTCGCCTGCTAATCAAGGCTTTCTCAGCAAGCTTCGTTTTCCTCTGAGAAAACTTTAACAAAATGGCCACAGCTCCCCTACTTCAACATGAGTGTATCACAATTTTTATCCCACTTCCAACTTTCAGATTCAAGGATTTAAGCCTGTATCTTTTTTATCTGAAACTTTCTAAATGTTCTCAATTTTCAAAGCATCGATGTTTCTTCGTTGGATACTTCTATCTTTAGCTTATCTTCATCTGCATTCATTGATAATAATAGCAATCAGCCATCGTGAAGTTGCACTGGCCAGGATCCTTCAGAATTTCGATTCCGTACTTTTTCCGACATAATGCCCACACATACGTTTCCTTTTCGCTGAAGTAAAAAGGTCCTAGAAGATTCATTCCGCTAGTTGTGAACCACCTCCAAAACGTGGTAGTTTTCATTAGTATAACAAAAACAGTTCATCTTACGATTCAGCACAAAACTAGTATTGTTAGTGTTATTCACTACTCACCATTAGGCCATCGTTGAAACTCAGATTCCACACGGCCTGGGCCAAAATAAATGATGCTTGTCATCTTTACTATTGTATCCAAACAATAACCTGATTTACTAGTATACTTCCAATATTACTTATCCTAGTAACCAAAAATTCTTCCACCATTGAATCAAAGTCCTTGCGCATTGAAATTGGAATATCTCCTATTTTGATGTATTCCGCCATTACTCGACTATTCAAAGCCTCTATAAAACGTTCTTTTCGTTCGTCAAGATCCATAACTGCAACTTCGTATACTGTAAACTAACTACTAAATGTAAGCAACATCGTACAAGCAACGAAAATTAGGGTAAACAAAACATGAATGAAGGAGAACCTCTATAGGCCTAAAATGTACGCAAAGCTTTAAAGACTATTTCGCAACGGTTTACCGTATAGCACGTGTGAAATTTTATCTTTATGGCATTTTTAAGTACATGAAAATAACAGCTACATCATGAATGCCCATATACAGGGTGTCCCAAAAAAATGTGAACACTGTTTGATCGTTAACAACTCCGTTGCTTTCGTGTCTTTCGCCGAGCTTGAGGCACCATTCTGTGAAGCGAGGTTCAACTCAGAATCATAGTATAGAGCGAATCATCGACCGCTCTTCGTTACTGTAGGATTACGGTATGAACTTCTAGCATATGGATCCATTGTGAAATATGCCATTTGACAAATATTCTTTCAAAAAATCTGAAAAATTGTGTACTAGGATTCTCGCGCATGCTGATTCTATTGCACAACTTTTTACGAATGTTTTTAGCTTTTTTGACGGTGTGGTCTCATTTTTGGTGGTGAAAATTCAGTTATTACGGTTTACCTTGGATAACTGTAGAAAGAAGCATCACAATAAAGTGGAAATTTCATATTCGAACCCAGCGGCTTCCATTACCATAGTGTAATTTGGCTTGTTTGGTTTTGCTCCGAGAAGAATATAGTCCTTGTCGAAGTTTCTACCTTCCTACAATAGTAAAGAGCGATCAATGATTTGCTCCTTACTGTAAATCTAAGCTTAACCTCGCTCTACAGAATGGTGCCTCAAGCTCGGTGTAGGACATGAAAGTAAGGGAGTTATTAACAGTCAAACAGTGTTCACATTTTTTGGGACACCCCGTATATAAACCTAATCAAATAAAATTGAAATTAACACGTGTACATATTATGGGGTATAGGTTGTCACCATACAGTAAGGCCAATTAGGTTTGAGTTCTTTTGTTTACTTTCAGTAATATTACCCGTGGGTTCCACAAGTAGCTACTGGCATAGGAGGGTAAGTAGTACTGCGCCTCGTATTACTTATTTTAGGGAGCGCCAAACCCTGGGAGCAGCCCTTCCGAAACTTTTTGAATAAGCTTCCTTTGGGTAAGGGATTAGTCCATTCTCTACCTAAGATTTTCACGCTTGAAAATAAACAAAGTACACTAAGCATTCATTTTTCATCATCTTACTTTCAGGGCACTTCTTTTATTAGAAGTAAGGTGGATAGCGAATAGAACCTACTGTGGCAATGATTTTAAGGGTTCTGCCTGTAAACCGTCTTGTGGTATATGTAACACCGTAATGATCCTCTACAATTACGTAAAGTCGAAAACTACTCGCTTACGCATCAAAACTTATAAAAGTGCAGTTGCTAACTCCCAGTCAAAAAATGTGGTTTATTGTATTATATGTTCATCGTGTAACTTCCAATATGTGGGAATTACTATCATAAATCTCCACAATAGGATGAATAAAGAGAGGTTGAATATTGCTCAGTTTCTTCTTTGCCACGACAGGTTTTTATAGCAACAATTTATTGTGCTGCCTAACGTTTCGGCGGATACGCCGTCCTCAGAGGCCTGAAAGTGAGTCAATCACTTTTATCAAACGTATTATGCCATCAAATGCCTCGACCAACTCGCACGTTTGACTCGTCCAATGCAACCGCAGTCCAGCGTTTAAGCTCGATCAACTTACCAAGACTCCCAGAGAAGAGCACGATAGAGGCTCTTTAGGACGCCTATAGTGTACGGTAACAATAAACAGTCCAACTGGTTTGGACATGTTTAAATAGCTACAGGCTATCGAAATCACAAAATGATAAGAACGGCTTGATCATTCGTCACAGACAACTGTTCATTCTTGCTATTTAATTTCAAGAATGAACAGTTGTCTGTGACGAATGATCTGAAGCCGTTCTTATCATTTTGTGATTTCGATAGCCTGTAGCTCAAACATGTCCAAACCAGTTGGACTGTTTATTGTTACCGTACACTATAGGCGTCCTAAAGAGCCTCTATCGTGCTCTTCTCTGGGAGTCTTGGTAAGTTGATCGAGCTTGGACGCTGGACTGCGGTTGCATTGGACGAGTCAAACGTGCGAGTTGGTCGAGGCATTTGATGGCATAATACGTTTGATAAAAGTGATTGACTCACTTTCAGGCCTCTGAGGACGGCGTATCCGCCGAAACGTTAGGCAGCACAATGAATTGTTGCTATAAAAACCTGTCGTGGCAAAGAAGAAATTGAGCAATATTCAACATTATGTCAAGGTTTAAAGAAAGGAGAACTTTTGAGTTACTTCGAAACATCTAAGAGGTATAAAAAGAAAACCTGACAGTAAACTATTTCATAAGCACAGCAAATTTTCCTAAGAAATTGTTTGGCATCTTTGTCGAAAATCATAAATTTTTAGACATGAGTCCGATCAGCACAAGTCTTGCCCACTTAGTAAGAGGAGGGCAAGAAGACCTATAATCAATTTCATTCTATTTTATTGCACAGTATTGATTTTTGACGGGCTCTCAAATCGCCGAGCTCCAGAAAATCTCCTTTTTCCATTTTTATCTTTGCAATTAAGGCTTAGCAAACAGGGAATTATCAAAAAGTACACGATTTACCCTTTCTAGTAACATGGCAACCAAAACATTATGAGAGAAAGAACTTGCGGCTTTGAGTGCTTTCCTCAAAGTTAAAGGCGTTCAAAACTCTTTGTTGGTCGCCACTATACTTTGGTGTATGCATGACCAAAAACGCACATTGAGAAAGAGAAAAATGAAAATAAGAGCAGAAAAAATCGAAAATACAAGCCTTCATAGAAAAACTAGAATCTGAATGCTACTGAGATAACATTCCAGTGGCCGTATTCATCAACGAACCCTGAGGGTTAAACATACCCTCCAGGGTTAGGGTTTACCACGGAACGCGATCCACCCGTATCAATCAACGAACCTGTGGCCGCATTCATCTACCCTGAGGGTTAAACTAACCCTAGAGGGTTAAGGCGTCAGTTTCATCCAATCTTACAGCATGAGTTTATTTTCATGTATGCAATTGTGCCGTGTAAGTTCTGCTTTTGCGCAGTTCGTTTTACACCGGGCTTGTGCTACTCTTTTAGGGGTCAGTGCGTGTTATCATAAAGGGGTTCTTCTGTTTTGGCACTTGTCAGAGTGTCAAGTCAGTGTTTCATGTACTTCGAATTTGAACATAAAACGAAGTCAAAACTAAATACTATAACAACAACTAATACTAAATACTACAATACTCGTTGATCGTTTTTCATAAAACTATTAGATGCGAGTAAATGTTTGTATGAAGTGTTAGGGTAGAGTTAACGTTGCTTTAAGCTAGGGTTAAATTAACCCTGATGAATTACGTAAGTTTTACCCTCCAGGGTTAGTTTAACCCTCAGGGTTCGTTGATGAATACGGGTTAATCGCTTTCCAGGGTTAGTTTAACCCTCAGAGTTTGTTGATGAATACGGCCACAGATTTGTCAAAGCATTTTTGATTGCTTGTTTTCCAATAACTATGACGAAATCCTCTCCCCTAAAAACAGCAGCTGATCTGAT